ATTTCAACCAGAAGCTTCATAAATACAATAGCTGCTCTGGACAGTTCAATTCAAACCGATGAAACTCGCCTGCTACTCCAATGTTTTCAATAGTGACTTTCGAGCGGTCAACCACAACATCTGTATGAGTTACTTGCGGGTGCCGAACTGAAACTTAAAGAAGGTCATCGTTCCGTTCGCTGTCCAAGATTACGATTTCAAAAAAAACAATTATTTTGGATCACACTCTGGTCAGCCAGAAAGGGATACACGTTCACTTCAAGTTTTGTTGCTTAGTAACTGTTCATTGCTATATTCAGGGTTTGGGCAATTTCTCGTGCTCCTTAGTGTTTAACTGAATAAATTTTAATGACTGACTTTCTCATTCTTTTGCTGCATTTCAGCAAAGGGCGCAGCTGTAAAAGCTTTTTCTAGAAGACATCAAAGAAGTAGGTGTACCTCCGAAACAATTTGCGTTTGCTGTTTTCTTAAGGTACGGTAGCAATTACGCATTTTAGAGGTTACGTACTTCAACGTCCGAGTAACAAGCGCAGCATTCAATCCAACCGGTGCAGGTTTTTTGATCACGGTTTGACCGATGAGGCACTTTTGCTGGATGATTTCAGCTACGCCGTCGTGCATCATTTTGTGACTAAAGTTAGATTTTAAAACATGAAAAGCGAACAATTTAATACTTCGATTTGTAGATGGGTGAAGCAGGACGGTTCAGGCGGTAGATTGCCATCGCCGGGGGTTCGTGTTGAAACAGTGTTTTGTATGAATCGTGATCCGGCCGAACAATCACAATTTTCAGTCTCGGAAAAGCAAGGAAGTCGAGCAAAATGTGTTCGGCAAGCAACTCGTTGCTCTCTTGATATATCACCACCAAACAAAGCAAATCTTTGGTCATCAAATTGGAAATCGACTCATCGCTATAAGAACGATGTCAAGCCGAAAAACAGACGGTCAACACAGCGCCTGTGTCACGCTTACTTAGAAATTGGCGTAAACTGTGATAGGTATGGTAGCTGCTTTGTGAATGAATCATTAACAAGGCCCTCAAGCGCCATACGCGTAATTTTGTCCGTGTCTTTCTGTAACACGTGCGCAGAACTTAAAACTTCAGCCTCGTTGGTGTAAAAATGAAAATACTAGAAAACAAAAAATTGCCTTAATGACTATAGCATTAAGAAAAATTTCACCTTAAGTGACGGAAATCGCCGCGCCTCGTGCTTATTACACAAGGCCATATTCTTTTCATTGCCACAGTTCAAGGCAGCCAACCTCAACACCTTTCTCCAGCCTAGAAGGTCGCAAATATAGTGCAGACGAAAATTATTTCAACAGAAGGAGCTACAAGACTAGAATTCTTTTACATACATCCGTTCTTTTGCTGAAACCACGTGGATGACCGCTGAGCAAGCCTGCGTGCCCTGGACAGTAGGATGTCCCACAGATGTTTAAGTAAGCAGCAAAATGAGCAGGTAATTCGCAAAATTAGAAGTCGAATGTAGTGTTATAACTTTTGAATGTATAAAAACTGACATGCTGGTTGGAAAATGCGGTGAAGGCTTGAATAAAGCACTGTGATTTGGCAACTGCATGTCGGTTAATGTGAACTCACATAAACCCGTAGCTGATCATACACTGGGCCGAAAAAATTCAATATTCACCACGTGATTCGTCAGTACTCTGTTGCTGCTACCGGACGTTCGCCGAATGGAAAATGTTCGATATCTTGCCCGCAGTATGTTCTCCAACATCCAACGTTGGCGCCTTCGTCGTGGAGAGCAGTCAACGAACAATGCTAATCAACTGGCAACCTGGATCGACAGAACACCATAAAATTTCAGTAATTTCTGTCTGGAACGACATTTCCACTATGAACTTGGATGAAACAATTTAGGACCATTTCGTGTTTATCACCGAAGAAAGAAAGCTGCGCCAAATTGTTTATCCTAGGAACGGAAAAAATGATTTTTGAGCGAAACATGCGCATGCTGATCGACTGCTGGATAACAAATCACTATTCTCCTCTTTGACTGGTTTTCTGAAATTCAGCAGCTGGTAGACCGGCTAAGATGTTCTGAATTACTGAATTTTGACTTTTATTATTGCCTAACATGAGCATAAAGTACTACTGCAGGCCACGCTATTGCTAACTTGGTAGCGTTTTCTTGAACATACCATATTAATCGACGACGCTATTCTGCGAATTTAAGATGGTCTAGTATGACTCCAAGTCAGCTTCATCAGTTTTGCCGCTGTAAGGGTGTTCGCAACCATCTCCACTGACTTGTTCAGACCTTGCCAGCCTTTCTACGCATTCCTCAGCACCGGGATCGATTTCACGCTCATCGTTTTCTAGGTTATCCTATTAAGATGATTTATCACATATGTCCTCCCTGTTGTCGCTGTTAAATATAAAGAACATAAAAGAATAATTTGGGCGCTAACCAGCAAAATCAGAGACCACCCTGGCAAGGCCACGAGGGCACAAGGAACAAAAAGCCACATTTTTGAATCACTAACTATCTACGCCGAAAATCTACCGTTGAACAAAATGATCAGTAGCGAATCGTTCGAATCAGGCGACTAAAGCATCGCCAGAATTACAATCATCGTCGAAACCTATACATAATAATATGACAACATCTACAGGCACATGGCCCAAAGCCCTGACCTTTTGAAATCATCCGTCAATCGATTCAAAATCTACGTCGTGAACCGCTTTCTGTAGTTGTCGCTCCGACCTCTGAACTAATACGCAAGAATCTCGATCAATTTAAAAGCGTGACATTCCGTCTCTTCTCCAGTCTCTAGTGCAAGCATCTGCTGATACATTTCAAACAACATCTTAATTTGGTCAGATATCGAGAAGAACGCACTCCAGATCACAAGGATTTATCGATAACATAATTATGGAGTGTTTGCAACAATCTTTTTCAACACTGCCAGCAATGACGGAAATAAATTCCGTATCTTCATCTTCCATCGCCGCTTCTCCTTTCGGGTCGCGGAAGCAGACGCGTCAGACAGTGCTTCCAACG